CCCCCCCCCGGGCCCGCCGGAAGAGATGACTTTGGGGGATCAGCCCCCGGCTCAAAAAGGTTGCCTACCCCTGTTTTTAAGGAATGTTGGCAGAGGGACAAGGAGGATGGCTCCCATGGAAAAGGGAAAGGAAAAGAATGTTTTGCTTGTGTCATGAATGAAAAGGTAGCCCATCCAAGATCTGAAATTGTGTATACTGTACTTTATGCTTTGCTAACACTTGCTGGTTAAGTTCTGACAATGACCATTTCTGCTGTACACCTCTAGTTGCAGAATGAAGTCTATTTTTTAGTTTAACTATTAAGGCCTAGATTTCTGAAGTCAGGTGCTGGAAACAGTTTCCAAAGTTTCTCTTGGTTTTGAATGGACAACTAAGCTCCATCCACTTTAGGGAAGCCCTGCTCCCAATAAAGAGGTAAAAATTGCTAGAATTGTTTTGTTGATGTGAATCCAGTGTTTGTTACTAGTATATTGTTTAAGGATAAGTTAATGAGTCAGTGCAGTGGTGTGCTTTCAAGTTGTTTCTGACATGTGGACTCATAATCACAGATATGTACGAGTATGATATGAGGTCATTCAATGCTTTGGGGATAAAGGGGCGTATTAAGATCAGCCTGTTACTCAAACAGTTCTGTTTCTAAGGAAAAACTTGGAACTCTTTTCATCTCTGTCCAGCTTATTGACCTGGTGCACTAACTTAGTCGACCACTAAGCTGGACAAAGATGAAAATTGGTAACAAATTCCACACTCTTCTTTAGAAAAAGATGTCTGATGATGAGATTGCAGAATGACACACTGAGGGTGTAGCGTCTGCATGGTGTAGTGGCTTAAGTGTTAGGACTATGACTCTGAAGAACAGGGTTCAAATCCCCATTTAGCCATGGAAATCCACTAAGTGACCTTGGGCAAGTCACATTCTCTCAGCCTCAGAGAAAGGCAAAGGCAAACCCCCTCTGAACAAATCTTGTCAAGAGAAACCTGTGATAGGTTTGCCATAAGTTAGAAACAACTTGAAGGCACACCACTACAATAAAACACTGAGGGTACAGTAAAAGACACACACACACACCCAAGAAAACAGTACATAAAGTCTGCATCATCCTGCTATGGCTAAGGATACTACTACTTGATTTGTTGCCTGGTTGCCTTTGAACACTGGATTCCTTTTGTCCTGCCCATTATGAAACTTTCCAAGTATTTAATTGCCTAAGCAAACAGACCTCCCTTATCACTAGATAAACCTGTCTCTCAATCTGTGCAGAGGAGGGGGAATGGTTGCACGAAAGATATATACTATAGATCACATCACCTGCCTTGCAGTATAGGAGGAGGAACCATGTAGCTTTTCAAGCCCTTCCTGAAAGAGAATGTAAGTAGAAATGCACTGGATCAGATCTATTTGGTTGAGCATTTTGCTCACACAGTGGCCAGGTGATTGTGGGGAGCTCACAAACAGGATATGAGTTTAGTGACACAAGTACATTAGCTCCCCAGGTGCACAAAACCTCACATGCATGTTCAGCTCAGCCAAACAACCCACCATAACCCAAAAGACATACTTTAACCTGTTCTGTCAACACTCAACAGGTAAGCCAATGTGATTCTAGGGTGCACCAATAGAAGTATAGTATTTAGATCAAGGAAAGTAATAGTATTATTCTATTCTACTTTGCTCAGGCCTCACCTAGAATATTGTGTCCAGTTCTGGGCACCACAATTCAAAAAGTATGTTGACAAACTGGAACATGTCCAGAAGAAGGAAACCAAAATGATGAAAGGTCTGGAAACCATGCTTTGTGAGGACTGACT